CAACGATTTTCTCGATAACTAGTGATTAGAATTAGCTAAAATTTTTACTAAAGATAGTATCGATATTCCTCTATAATATATATAAATTTTATCTAAATTGATTAAGTAGTTTCTGAGTAATCATGTCTATATTATAGTTAATTTTTTTAAAAAATTAACTATCATATAGAAGCGATTACTCAAGAACTACTTGACTAATTCAGATAAATTTAAATATATTATAGAGGAATAGCGATACTATCTTTAGTAAAAATTTTAGCTAATTCTAATCACTAGTTATCGAGAAAATCATTGTCAAAGTTTGATTATAATTTATGAATTTTTTAATAATCAATATTAATTGATTAATGATTTATATCGGTATTAATCAATATATATCTATAATTGAATATAATCGATAATGTTTTTAATCGATTAGTAACTCCTTTATCGATTGTAATCAATTAAAATTAATCGATACTAATCGATTAATTCAATTATAATCAATATATATCACCTCAAAAAATTTTCTGATATAATCTTCAGCAGTTGCGAACTAATACTCAAAATTAAGTAAACAGAATGTTAGACAATATAATAGGAAAGTGAACCTATATTGGTGTATTACTACAGGAAAATTTGCCTTATAACTACTGTATTAGTAAAAGGTTCACTATCTACAGCAATGCAGAGAAGATATAGAGTTGCTAGAATATAATTGAGACAAGCTCTATAAGTAATATAAGAAATAGAAAAATAAGACTTATACAGAGCACTAAAATATTTTTAATTTAAATCAACAAATTTTGGCAATTTATAATAATCAACAAAATCGAAGGAATATCACAACTGTTTTTTGATTAGGATGATGATATTCAAGATTTTCTTGCAAAACTAAGATTATACTTGCAAAACTAAAGTGTAAATCTAGCAGATAATACTGGAGGTCTACTAACAGAAAGAAATATAGCTATAGGATATTTAAGAGGATGTATGAAAGAAAGAGCTTTAGAATGGTTTGATGAAGAGATTACTACAAAACAGAATTAGGAATTAGCAAATTTACTTAATAATACAGGGCAGGCTAACTTAGTAGCTATAAATGAGCAAATAGCAGTTCAGATAGGAAATCAAGCATTAAATGAAGCACTTGGCCAACCAGGAACTACAATAGTCAAGTTGAGAGCTGTAAAAGATCCCTGAGATGAAGATTAGTGTATAGCAGGTAGTCATCTTACTAACATTTCTATTAATATACCAAATACTAATAATAGTACTACAGTAGTTATAACTAGTATTCATTTCGGTCAAGCTATATGGTGGCTAAAAATATATTTTCCTACAGTAGAAGAGGAGCTTTGAGATTTAATATATAGAACAATCAGAAAAGAAAACATAACTATAGATGAATTATATAGAAAATTATTATGAATTAGTAAACAAGCCAACTATAGGTCCAAAGAATTATGTAAAAAGTTCTTAGATCTCTTCCACTTCTATGATTTGAAAAAGCTGGAATATTGGTGAACATTTGCTATTAGATGAATTAGCTAAAAAGCTTTATAAGATAGAGTTATGCCAAATAGCTAGACATAAAAGAGATAGAATACCTGATTCATTAGTTTCTCAGCAAGCATCTCAAGAAATATATGAACTCTTACCCATTTCAGCTTCTCAACAGCAAGGAATTTCTTTAGAAGATATGCAAAAAGCAATTCAAAATGCACTAGCACAGCAAAAAACTGAATATTAGTCTTTATTAAAAAAACAAAAAACTAATTTTCAATCACAAATGGCTAAGCAAATACAAGTACCTGCATCTCAAACTGTTAAACCAGTTAGACAGCCAAGAGATTCACCACCTTTATTACAAATGGAAAAAGGTATAAAAAATTATC